AAGGCTTTTTAGAGTTAGAATTTTTTTACTTATTATGCGTTAATTTTGTCGGGCAGTATATATATATAGATTATATATTTCTGCCTTAGGTTTCCACGGGCGTTATATGTATTAGTGGTTTTTCGGTATCTGCTCCCTGTTGTCGGTTTTTGGTTCTTAACAGAACCGTATGACTGTCAACGTTGTGGTACAATCTCATGTACCACCTTCAGGTCTTGTCTGCTGGGCTGCTGTTGCTGCTCTGCATCTCCACGTCTAACTCGCAGTAGAGTAGCATATAAGCAGCCCAGCAGATAAGACCTGAAGAAGGTACATGAGATTGTACCGAAACGTCGTCAGACATACAATTCTTGTAAGAACCAAAAACCGACAACACGGACCAGATCCCGAAAAACCACTAATATATATATATATATATATATATATACAGGGTGTCCTAGAATATGTGGGCAATCTCCCGGAATTAGATATAACACATCAAAATAATATGACAAGTTCCTATACATTTGTTTTTCCTACGGCCCCCCCTACGGAGATACTGGCCCATAACGAACGCCCCTGGAAATCTTTTTTTTAAATATCTTTTGAAATACAAGGTGGAATTGAATAATTTTTAAATATATTGTTTTTACCTACTAAGAAAGTTTTCTTAAAATGGGCACTTTTAATCACATTTGGCTTATTTAGTTTGCCAGGCACGGACTAGCTCTAACAGAGTAATGTTATTTATTTAACACCCTGTACTATAAAGGCACAATAATAATATTTTTAGTCAGCTTAAACCTTAAACTAAAAAAAGATAATCTTAAAATGTACAGTTTACGAAAAAAAATTGTTTTTGTAAAATAGGATTTTTTTACATTTATTTTTATTTTTTTTGCAATGTTTTTTTTGACATTTAGCGATTAAACTAATGATGTCAGTATCAGTTGAAAATAGAGTGTTTTAAAATTTTCGATCCTTTTTTTTCAGGGGCGTCCGTTATGGGCCGGTATCTCCGTAGGAGGGCCGTAGGAAAAAAAAGTATAGGAACTTGTCATATTATTTTTATAATATATCTATAAAAAAGGTGTTTTGAAATAATGCAATATAACGTATACTATATATAGTTTAAAAGATATAGAGCATTTATTTTAGTTTCAAATATTGATAAAATAATTAGTCCTATGTTGTTTTACGGCAAAACGGTTAAAGTTAAAAAATTAAAATTAAATTTTCTACAAAAAAAGTTTAATGCAATAAAAACTAATTAGTCCTATACAACAACGGTTAAAGGTACAGGTGAACAGTATAAAATACTTTTATAAAATAAATTAAATAAATAATGTTAAAAAAAAAATTCCCTGAAAAATTTGAGCCCTTAATATTAACTCAAAGTACTCTACCAAAGCGTATACGTATATATAAACATACACGTAAACTTTGATTATTTTTTTTTATGCTATTGGATTGTTTCAAAAAGAGATTTACTCGTAATCAAAAGTTCTACAAAAATGCTTTATGTGTCATAGCTGTAATCTGCACCTAAATCTTATTTTAGTGAAAAATTCTCATATTTTTGAAGATATTTCAAAAGTGACTGTATTCTTGCTACAAGATTGTGAGTTAGGAGCGAAAAAATAAAAATAGCCGTGAAAAAAAAAGCACCCTAATATATATATAAAAATTTGATTTCATACAAAAATTGTTTTATGCATTAAATTAATTTAATGCAATAAAATGTATAGGTTAAAAGATATACAGCATTTAATTTCAATGGAAAAACTTTAAAATCAAAATAAAACTTTTACAATCAAAATAATTTCTATATTTGGGAACATTTTGTTAATTATTCTTTTAAACTTGTAGATGCAGTTAAAACCATTAAATTCAATTTGATTTGTTACCAAAGTTGTTTTGTTTTTATTGTACAAGTAGGTACAGTGTCAATGACTTTAAAATGTTTAATACTAGGAATGTTCACCTTACAAGTTTATTTAAACGTACCTACTACATTATATCAACAACATTTACATACACAATTTTTTGTAGGTGTAATTAATTAGGTAGGTAACATATCATCGATTTGGCGTTACCGTAGATGCTTGAATCGATTTTGTCATTTTTTCATTCATCGTATGGCTTCATATAAAACAGAGTATACCATGGGATTCCCAACGAAAAAATATTGTAGTTTTATATAAAAGGGATAGGTTTTATAAATTTGTTTACAAGCAAATTAAAATTAATTAACCAAAGAAAAATTACGAATATGCAGTAACAATGAAGTAGGCCCTGTCGTACAAAAATACACGCGATTTTTCTTTAAAAATTTCCAGTGATATAAATTACCGAAAAAAATTGGGGATATTAAAAAAATCATCAAAAAATTGTTTAAATGTTTTTTCCTAAATTATATTATTTTATATAGGGTGTCCCGAATATAGCGCACAGGAAAGGAAATTTTAAGCATAAAAAATATTTTTTTCCGACATGTATTTTCGAGTTATTTAATATCTAAGCCGATTTATAAAAACAATATATTGTATACAATATATATACATATATGTCAATTGAGTAGAAATGAATACGATTTTTTAGGTACGTTGAAAGGACAATAATTATTAGAAAAAAGTATCTACTCATTAATATCAAGTAACGTTATACAAATTTTTGATAAAAATTCATTTGTATATTAACAATTTGCAATTGAACATTTTTGCACTGTTTGATTAAAAAAGCATTATCTCTATAAGCAATTTATAAAAAATTAATGAACATTTAGAGGATTTATTAGTCATTTCTGCTAATTTATATATATATATTTAAATAAACAAATGCCGATTTTGCCTTGTTCTATAAAAAAAATTTGAAAAGCACGAAAATAAGAAGGTTATTGCTCATTACATTCATTTATTAGGTAATATTTTTAAAATTTTCAGTAATGTTTTTAAAATATTTTAAGAAATAATGATTTTTCAATCAAACCGTTAATTAAACTTATAGCAATCAAACGGTGCAGAAAAATGTAATCGTTTATTGTTAATACACAATTGTTCTCAAAAATCTACTCCTACATTGACAAGCTGTGACTTAATGGCGTTTTAGACATGTCTAAAACGTGCACGGGCTGAAGTTAACAACAGTGGCTTTAGAGCATTTTAGTCACGGGCTTTATTATAAATTGCGAAAAAGTGGGGTTAAATTCGCTTGTGCCTAATAAAACTCGTAACTAAAATTGCGTTTATAAAACTTGATACAGTATAATATACTAATATAACCTAACTTGATATTTTTCAATACTTAGTTCTATAGAACTAAAATTATAATTTTCCTTCCAACGTCAAAAATCGTAGGCTCATTTGGGAAATTTTTACTCAACTCAAAAAATACCCACCCGTCAGAATTTATTTACAATTTTTAAAACAACCCACTCTACACCGTAATATACCTACCGTTAGTGCGACATTTGCGGGAAACCCTGAACACAAATAAAGTATAATTCAGTAAGGTGTCACATTTTGGAAGAATATACGCTCGCAAAACAAATAGGCATAATAAACATTTTAAAAATATTCTATTTTGCCGGCAGCTTATTTTATACAATTATGTTTATCTACTCCTACATTGACGAGCTGTGACTTTATGGCGTTTTATTGACGGGCTGAAGTTAACAACAGTGGCTTTTCGACATTTTACGTCACGGGCTAAAGTTAGCTTTAATATAAATTGGGAAAAAGTGAGGTTAAATTCGGGTGACAGTTGACAGAAGTCAAAATTTTAACAAATAAAATTGGCTTTAAATTCTGTTTTGTGTTCGTCGTAGATAAAGTATAGTATGCAACTCGTTTATAAACTTCTCTAGACACTCGTTTTTATTAAACACTCGCTCGCAAGCTTCGCTCGTGCTTAATTAAACTCGTAACTAAAATTGCGTTTATAAAACTTGATACATAATATACTATTATCTACTCCTACATTGACAAACTGTGATTTTATGGCGTTTTAGTCACGGGCTGAAATTAACAACAGTGGCTTTCGGGCATTTTAGTCACGGGCTGAAGTTTTATATTATTAATTGGGAAAAAGTGAGGTTATACGTTCGCTGCTACCTAAAATTAGGCGCAAGGTCCAGGAGCTGATCGTTTATTTTCAAATTCAGTTTAGCAACACCGCACTGTTATCTCGACCAAACATATTTTTTAATTCCTTAAACACTTACTACCACGCTCATGTAAAATAAGCTCGATTGCCGCAGTTCTATGTTTTCACAATGGACCCAATGACTGATGGATACGTTACCCGCACCCGGCAAACGTAGCCTATGACGGATATATATATATATATATATATATATATATATATATATACGTCGTGAGCAGTGAACGTGTTAAAAGTTGACATATGTCAAATGTTTAACAAATAAAATTGACTTTAAATTCCTATTGGTGTTGGTCGTAGATAAAGTATAGTATGCAACTCGTTTTATAAACTTCTCTAGACACTCGTTTTAATTAAACACTCGCTCGCAAGCTTCGCTTGTGCCTAATAAAACTCGTAAATAAAATGGCGTTTATAAAACTTGGTACATACCTAATTTACTTTTATGTATAGTTTATATAGTTTACAAACCCGCTAGTTTTTAAAGTCGTAATAATAACATTGAACCCTAATATTTTCTACTACATAAAAAATTAGCTATTAAATTATTAAAAAAATATTGATTCCATAAATAATTATTATGCAAGACGTAACCGGTTACTTATTTGCGGAAAAGTTATATTTACATTGACCTTTATTTTACCAAAATTTAATTGTAATAAAGCATTTAGCAATAACCACGTAACCTTTAAGCTGAATATTTTAATCGTAATTATTATGATTTTTCTTAAATTTAGCATGTAATACAAAGCACACGTAAATATACTTATTGTATTTTTACTTACTTTGAAATATAATAGACAATCTTTGAGTTAATGAATCCGCCACCATAAAAATATTCCCAGAATAAACAAACTTACCACTAGGAACATTATATTGTTGAGATCGTCGGTTACGCCTAGGCAGTTGTAAGCCAGGGGCACTTGATGCCCTTTTGGGTATCGTGGTAGTCAACTTGTATCCAGGCGGTCTGTACCTGGCACTCTTAACATTTTGCGGGGTAAATTGGTACATACTTTGAGCCTTTTGCATTGCATTGGAAGACGTACTGGTTGGAAGACGCGGTAGGGAGTTTGAAGTTGGCACACCTGTTTGGAGATTTCTACGATTACCGATTTCCTCGTCTTCATCCTCACCGTCAGAGCCACACGTCGCATCCGGCACGCTAGATCTTCGTTTTGTGGGTCTAGTAGAGCTAGATACCCATAGTTTTTCTTCTATATTTCCCCCTCCTATGCTGCCGCAGCTTCTTACTCTATCCAGGTGCTCTCTGCTCTTGTGGTTAAAGAGCAAATCACCTGCAGATCTACGTTTCGCTGCAATTATAGCGGAGGCTGAGCCTTCCCCACCGATTAACGAGAGTTTATTTCGAGAATCACTGGCTAGCAGGGCAGATTCAAAACTGCCTCGCCAACTGAATCTTTCACAATCACTAGCTTCACGTTCTTCAGCTATATCGGATACACCACTACTCGATTGGTGCAAATTTTTATTTTCACTTAACAAAATATCATGAGATTTACTTCTAGGCAGTATATTATAGTTGTCTTCTAAGAAATTATCATGTAAATTGCTATCACTGGTACTATCATCATCTGTAGTTGTGGAATTGGAAGAAATGTTTTGGTAAAGCCGTCTATGTGTATGTTTACTTTTGGGGCTGTTGCTCTTATGGCTTTCTCCACTGGATACCTCATGCATCAAAGCTACTAAACGACTTCCAATGTGATGCATTACTTTGGCAATCAACGGCGGCGAACTATGTGATGCGTAGGGCATAGTTTCCCCAGTGGCCATTTTTTCTAGCGATGCTACTAATTTTTGGTATACAAAGGCTGTTTCTTTGTTTAATCCAGTGTTATCTTCTATAATGCCACCGTCACCCTCGTCGCCTTCATCGTCGGCTGGATTATCGAATTTGTTAATGATTTGCTTACAGCTATCACTTATTTGTTGTTGTAAAGCTGATTTTGTTGAAGCTCCTTCCAAGTCGGAGCTGGTGTAGTCAGAAGAATCGTAGGAATCACTCCACGTATCCTCACTACTTAAGTACTCTACAATTTCGCGCACTTGATCATCCCGTATTCCAGGAACCGTCTTCATCAGTCGAGTAAGTTCGTTTTCGAAGTAGACCAACTGCGGTGGTTTATACCTGTTTTTGATTTTAACACTAGCTATGGGTTTAGGGGATATCCGGGAGCCCAATGTGGGCGTTGTAGGTTTGGAGGGACTGTACTGCGAATTAGCCACTAAAGTCTTAAAAAATTGGCGCATTTTACACATCATTAAGTTGGTTTCTTCGTCGGAGCTCCAGTTATTAAAGCTGTCTTTTCTTGTAAGTGATGTAACAGGCGGTGTATTAGACTTAAGACTTTTTTTTTCCTCTGCATTTTCAGCTTCTGATTTCGAATCCGACTTGGAAGGAAGTAACTCTGGAGACTTATTTTCACTTTGTTCTTTGAGCAAATCATCGCAGCTTCCTATAAAACCGCTGTCTCTACTCTGTTGGTTTTTCGTTGTCATTAAATTTGAAGGGGTACTGCAGCTTTCGGGCTGCGGGGTTTTATGTCCGTCTTCTTCTTCATCAGATAATCCATTATTCTCGTGGACTTCCTGCATCACCTCAAGCATTTTTAATTCCTCATTGGACGAATGGGTGTTTTTATTCTTTTTTCCTTTTTTACGTTTGACCGTATCGAATTGACCATCGGATTTTTCAAAATTATTTGCGCCTTCATTTGTATCTGAATCGGAGACTTCGGATAATATTTGGGTTTCTTGGGATTGATCCAACGCTATCAAATCAGGGTTTGTAAGTAAGTTATCCAGTGACGAGGAATGACTCCTACCGGTTCCACGGGCTCTTACCAACTTTTTGCGCCTTTGTTCCGGACTTGGTTTACCTTCACTATCACTACCAACACTTCCATCGGAATCTCTCCTGCCCACAGATGTAAAACCCATAAACCCACTCAAGAAGTACTTTTCAAGTCTAGAGGAAGCCAAATCGGCTGGATCGCAAGATTCTCCTTTCGACAAGGCTTCATCCATACCCATAGAATCCATACCCTCACTATAAATACTACTGGTCTCAGAAAGAAGCTCATCTCTATTAGAATTTATAGAATGTCCGTCCCCCAATCCAAAGAAAAAATATTTTTCCAAGTCCGTAGCAGACGTAGGTCGCTTTTTTTTCGAAACTGCCTGTTCGGGCTCACTTTCCTCGCAGCTCTCTTCCACAATCGTGTGCAAGGTAAAGTCGATTGCAGTTCTGTGGTAACCACGAAGTTCATCTTCATGATCGGTGGCTGCAGAGCATGTTAGTGTTACCTCTTCACCTGAAGAGGTGTCTTCCTCTGTCGTTTCGTCATCTTCGTCGTTGCTAAGGTTTTCTACCCATGAATCGTCGTCTGCAAGACCCTCTTCGAACGCTGAGAGGGTCTCCACACCTGTAATCACAGTCACTCCGTCGTTCGTCTTGTTTTGAATATCTGAAAGAAATCAAATCCAGTTAATTTAATAAATTTGATTACATCATGTTAATAAGTATAAAATGTAAGTATTGCATGTTTACACAAGTATATGTATAACATAATATTACAATTTCCTATATGAATTAATAAAAGGAAACAAAACAATGTTTTATATTAAATAAACTGCATGTAACTATAATTTGTTATGTACACATAAATTTAATATTTGCAAAACCAAATCGGGTAGACAAATATTGTCATCAATACAAAAAGTAAACAAATTGTTAATGTTTTATATATCTTTTTTATCTTCACATTACATTTGACAATGAAAAAAATTACACCAATTTTAATTTTATCTAAATAATTTAAATTGTTACCTAAATACATAGATAAACTTTCTAAACTACTTATATTTTACCTTCTTTTTAAGCTGTATACAAATTTTCAACGTACGTAATTATTATTGCACTACTGATTTTTAAATTTCACTTTAAATGAAATTACCATATTTTCTTCAATTTAATTTTTTTAATGCGATAGTATCTTTCTTGTTCATAACATTAAATTTATGCCAGTTATGGTATGTTAAATTATACGTTTGAATGGCATTGTTTTAAAGGTCAAATATCTGCATTTTAAGATTAGAATTAAGGTAGGCAGTTAATGTTTAATTAAGTTTAAATCGCCGGAAATAACGTTTAATTAATAACTCCTAAGGACCTTAAATACTTAATAAGTATCTACGATTAATTAATTGCAGCGTTGGGTGTAATTCTTTTATTGTTTACTTGATAATGTGTAATTTTTTAATACTTTGTTAATTGGAAAGTAGAGGAAAATGGGACAAATGTAAAGTCATGGCCGACATTCTTAAGATGCTTGAGAAAAATAAATAAGTTCTATTACTCGTAATATTAATAAACTATTTTTTATTTTTATTAGAGATTGATCTTTTTTTTACAAATGACATACTAGGCATTTCTATTAATTTTATTTAAAATATTTTAAATAATAATAAATATAAATCAAATCTCTAATTCTCTAGCTTAACGTTAAGCATCTTAATTGCAACATTTTTATCATTTGATCAAGAAATTAATTAACTGGATATAATTTAAGATAAGGCGTGCCTTAATAACGTTACAATAATCTTTATTGACTTTTATTTTCAATGGCATTGCATATTTAATTGAAACAGCCGTGTTTTAATTGAAAAATAGATTAAAAAAAAAATAAAGAAAATTGACACCTGGATATTACCAAAATTTTATCAAAATTAAAACAATTTATTAAAGCTGTCTTTTTAAAAACCTCACAAAATAAAGCAGTTAAACATAACAAATTAATTAATTGTCTATAAAACTGGTTTAAAGTATATGTACAGCCTGTACAGGGTGTAGTAACAAGTGGCAAATTTGTGCTTAGCTTGCTTGTTTTTAAATTTTATTTTTTTTTTTTTAATTAAAATAAAAAAAATCATGTGAAAACCACCCTGTGCGTGAAGTCTGACACTAAAATAAACTTTAAAGATTCATTTGGTAGATAATATTTTGGATTACTAAGGTGCTTTTAATTTTCCATCGATTTTTCATTATCAGAACAAAAGATTTATTTTCATTTTTAGTATATTACTTTATACTAGGTACTTATTAAAAAAGCATATTTTTTAACCAATTTTTTTTTCAATTATTGTTTATTTTTGAAAGTTAAAAAACATCAAGAGTGTCTACAAAAGGTCAGTGTTTTAACTTGAAAAAATAGGACTTGTTTCTTGCTCTGGTAAAATTACTACCCCTTAAGTTACTTTTTATTTATTATTTGAAAATAAACATCGATTTTTTGTCTTATTTTTTTTTTAACTTGTTTATATTTTAAAATAATAATAAAATATATATTAACAAAATAAAATAAAATAAAAATTTCAGACAAAAAAACAAATGTAATTTTTGTATTTGGTATTGTTACGTACTACTGTGAACATTGTTTTGAGACATCACGACAGGTACCTTTTTTTAAATCTGGAATTATTAAAGCCTTTAATACAAAATGTGTAATTTAATTAAAAATCAGGTTGTATAAATGAAATAATAAAGGGATATATTTGTTTTTGATTTGTTGTTTAGAAAGTGATTTTACTAAATGAATGATGATTCAAATTAAAATAAAATGACAGTGTGTGAGTTGTAAACATGGTACCTGTTCAAGGTGATTATGGATGTGCTTACCATTGTTCCTGTCGTTGTTTTCGGTGTCGGTACGCCAGTTGGTGTGCCTGACAACGATGCTGTCGTCTGGAACGAGAGTCGTGGTATCGGTGGTGACGACGCTGACCTGTTGATAGGAGGGGGCGGCTTCCTGGGTGATCATTACGAGACTAGTGTAGCGCGCGGCGGCATTGCGTGACGAACACGGGTCCGAGTCGGCAGTTACTGGCGCACCTGCCCGCTCACCGTCGTCGCGAAACGCGGCTGCCGATGCCTCCCTCTCTTTATTATTACTACTAACGGACTCGGTAGACCGGATCTCTGTGCCATCGTTCCATTCACTGGGTACTTCCTCTAATTCTTCGACGGCCACTACGTTCTTCTTGTCTGCTTTTTGATCGTCACTGTAATCGCGGTTCTGTTCGACGTCACTGGAGTTTAAGGACTCAGCACTTACGTCCGATAAACATGGACTCGAAGACTCCACTTCTTTTACTTCAATCCTAACTGTATCAGATATATCCTTTTCTTTTTGTTTTTCTACGATATCCTCTTCCTTGATCTGGGAAACATTCGTTAATATCACAGTACAATCCATCTCGGTATCAGTATCATTATCAGACGTATCAGTTTCGCTGCTCATAGATTCCATCGAGGATGAAGAAATATTTTTATTTACCACAAAGACTCTGGAAAACCGCTTAGTTTTTTCATCACTATCCACATCACTATCGGAATCAACGGACGAAGAGTTATCCTCTTGGCAGGAGCTGTGCGATGCAGGATCATCACCGTCAGTTCTGCTGCTTAAAGATGAATTGGCAACGCTATCGTTTTCATCTTCCCCGTTCACTGTATAAACTCTTTTTACTTGTTTTTTTTTCTCTCCATCTGTTGCATCACTACTATCATCGCACGATTCCGTTGAGGAAATGTACCTTTTATTCTCACTTGATAAGTGCCCTGATATTTCTATTTCGATATCGTTCTCCTCAAAATAACTATTTTTCTTATTGCTTTCAGTTTTCTTTTCTTCTATCACTTCCTTAGTATCTCCCACTTTGATTTTCTCTTTCACTTTGGTTTCTATTGGCCTGCAGTCGGGCATATCGTATATACCCATATCTCTATTCCATTTGTTGGTCATAAGACCTAATTCAGTAGAGTTTAGAATGGGACGTAGAGAGGAATCCGTCATGTAGGGCCAAAAATGGCTAGAAGATGCTCTAAATCTTGAAACAAAGTTATGGTCTGTACTCGAAAAGTCGTAAAGTACAACGGTATCTTGAGGTGTCCATAGAGTTGGAACAGGGAAAGGCATCGGCACTGCAACTGGTATGGGGATATATTGAGTAGGCGCTCCACAATTTTTGCAGTGTTGCTGAGGAATATCCGTACATTGGTGCACGCATTTCACTTGTTTATCTTCCTGATCTGTATTTTTAAAATTGTCCGAATAAGATGGCGAGTCACTGTCTCTCCTTAGGTTATCGTCATCTGTACCGGTATCCGATTCCCTTATATTTATAAATACGTGTGGAGAACCTATAGGAGAACCCACAGTGGTGCGTCTATATGTTCTGGGAGACCCAAAGGGAGAGTTCCAACTAATCAAAGAATGATTCGAATTTGATGTTGAAGGACCTGGTTCAAAGTAATCCCACTCGCAGTCATCGATAGGAAAACTACTCGCAGTAGACACACTGTCGTTATCCTCCACATCCTCCTCTTTGGAGGAACTATCTGAATTAATGAATACAAGTTTGTAGTCGTCGCCGTCCGGTAGTAGAATATCCAAAAGTTCAGGGTCCGGTCCGCGTCGCCAACCTATTCACGAATGTTCGATATTTAATAATGGCACGTAACCGAACATATGCTGCCCTCCACCACAACACAACAAGCAGACTGTTTACGCCCACGTACCATGGGCGCTTGTTATGGGTATAAATCGGTAAGCCGGTAAACAAATACGCGCGTCGAAAAAGTAGAGGGAACAACTATTTAAACGGTTGGTTTCCTTTATTATTTTGATGCGTGTATTTCGTTTTAAAAGTTAGTAAGTCGTGTTAGTAGGGAAATATTGTTATAATTGAAATGTTAATTACCAGTAAATTAAAAAAAAAATGGGATTTGGAATAATTAATGTCTGACCGTTTGTTACGGACACCGCATTAAAAAGTTAATTTTCATAAAATTATTTATAACAATACAACAGGTTGGGCATGGATGTTATGAACATGTATTTTAATTATCCAATTTTGCCATGCTTTATAAATTAATTAGTAAAAAAACTTAATAGATACTTCTTATAAATTATTATTGTTTAATATATTATTATAATAATATATTATTATAATAATATATACTTACAGTGAAATAAGTATATTGTGTACAACATAATATGTATTACACTTTCTAGGTTAGTTCATAAAAATTTAACAAGGTTTGTTAATTGTTAATACCCTTAAAATCAATTTATGCATTTAACCCCTGTAAGCTTAATTACTCGCGCTGGTGTATTTTGTACAGCACTTTAAATTCTTGCGATACTTAGGTACCTGTAAAAATGTGTCTTTTGTAATAAAAGTTTTATTATACCCTTATGATCAGAGCTGGCGAAGTAAGTACTCGAGTACTTTTACTCGTATTTAAATTACGAGTAAAAAAGTACGAGTACTTTTTTTACTTATAAATTTTTTTAATTTGAAATACTTATTACTCGTACTTACAATTCAAATTTAATGTACTAGTAAAATACTTGTGGAATTCACGAGTAATATATAAGAACATTTTTCTGTTTAATATTTTGATGACTTTTTGCCAAAATATCGCAAGCAAAAAACCTATAGGCTGTTTACAGACTTATAAGAAAATGATTCGATGCTTGCGATACTTTGGCAAAAAGTCATCGATATAATAAACGAAAATAATCATATATAAAACTCGTGAATTCCACGAGTATTTTTTACGAATACATTGAATTCGGTTTGTAGCTAAAATTATAAACTATTTACTTGTTATAAAACCTATACTGCCCTACTATGGGGAAAGGCAGTAACTACAAAAAAATGCGTTTTCTTGTGCTATGATAAAGCTATGGACATTTTGTATCTTAATTCAACTAAGAAATGCAGTAAACTATCTTATAAGTTAAATAAATCAATTAAATATCTACTGCTTTTTATAAAAATTTAGTTAGTTAGCCAAGTTTCCACAGATTTCTTGTTTAGCAGTTACTGCCTTTCTCCATAGTTGGGCAGTATAGGCTATATATAGTAGGGTGTTTAAAAAAACAATTATTTTTTTCCAATGGTGTTGAGAAATTAATATTACATTAAAAAACAAAAATTTTGGCACCTATTTGAGCCCTTAATATTAATATTAAGGTTTGCCTCAATTCATTTGTTGTTTTTCCATTTCAATAACACGTGAATATTTTTTTAATGATTTTTTTTTAATGAATTCTTATAACATTTGGAATGGTTTGTTTTTGCAACACCCAAGCGAGAGGATTTATAGGAAATTTTACGCTCTACAAAAAACATCTTAAGGTCAAAGTTCTTCAGATCAACCGTTTCAAAGATATCAGCAATCAAAAATAACACTAATAAAAAATTTCAAATATTTTCCAATAAAACTACAAAAAAATATCATATGCCATATTTATATTATTTTTTATGTAAAATAACTTTAATTCTGTTAACCTGGCACTGTAAACTTTTTTTTTGCTATCTAATTCAATACGTAACTCACCAAAAGCACAAATACGTAAATATAAAGATTAAAAATATTAAATATATGATTTTTGGGTCTCTTGTATAACAAATTTATTTTGTTTTCTGCTAAATAGTAAGAAACTTTATTGAACAATTAATTCTATATAACAAAAAACAATACATAACAACTACTTATGAAAATTTTTTAACTTGAAAATATTACAGTCGTATAAAATTACTCTTATTGCAATAAGAATATCGTTTTTTATGTTCTGTCACTACTTACAACAAATATTGAAGCTGCCCTATCAATGCAACCCCACGTACTACGTGGCACGTACTGAGGGCGGTCGCTTGGCATGCGAAAGGTTCCGGGTTCGATACTACTAGAAGTTATCGAACTTTTTTTATTTTATAAATTTGTTGTTCCTTTGTTAAAAAGTGTTGGGTTGGGTTGGTTGGTTTGGTTTGTTTGTTTTAGTTGTATCGTAACATAAATTCAACAAAACAAACAATCTGCTAAATAAAGCTCTGTCGATATTATCAAATAAAAAAAAATTATCAAATGTTATAGTTGATTTAATATATTTACATAATTGTTCTATTATTTTAAATAAAATACAATGATGAGTGTTTGGTTAGTTAGTGTAATAAGGAACTTTACATTTTCTTTTTACAAAAATTTATAAATTTTATAAAATAAAAATAAATTTGTTATAAAAGAGACCCAAAAATCATTTACATTATATTTTAGTATTTAGTATTATATTTTTAATCTTTATATTTATGTATTTGTGCCTTTTTTGCACAAAAAGCACAAATACATAAATGAGACATTCTTTTACATATCGTACGGATTACAGAAAACATATTTTTTCAAATTTTTAAAATGACTTAATTTTTTTTTACAGCATCTTTTCATAAATTTAGCCGACCCCTATATCGGAATTTTTGCAGAAAATTTATTTTTCCAAAGATATATGGATTTAAACTTTTGATAAAATTTGAAAAAATGCTGAATTCTTTTGTACTTAAAATTCATTATCTCCGGTTCTACTGATCGGATCGATTTCATTTTTTTTTATTTTAAACCATATTACATAGTCTTTTTCGATAAATATTTAAAAAGTTTGTGTTTTGTTTATTATATGAAAAAAATATTTTTTTTTTGTATAAACAGACTTTTTGTGTTTGCCCCCTCTATGAAAAAAAATTAAAAAAATACTGTTCTATGCACTATTTATTACTCTACAAAATGAATTTTTCAGAAAAATGGAGACTTTTTTGGATCGAAAGATATTAAATATTTTCGAGCGCGTGACCGGTACAAGCCGTAAGGGGGCATCCATTAATTACGTGAGGCGTTTAGGGGAGGGAGGGGGCAAGCCAAATCTCATCAATTCTCACGTAAGGGAGAGGGGGGTCTCGGCAAATATCACGTAATTTTTAACAAAGTATGTTTTTTTAATAAATCCAACATTTTTTAAAATCTCACGTGAGATTAGGGGGAGGGTGTTGAGCCAAATCTCACGACATCTCAGCAAGGGGGGAGGGGGTCAAAAAATCGCTAAAATTGACTCACGTAATTAATGGACACCCCCTAATCAGACATCTTCGAAACGCTAACACATTTAGGATCAGTGATGCCGCCGATACGAGAGATTCTCGCCTCTCGTCTCGTCTCGTCTCGTCTCGTCGAGAGATTTTCTCTCGAAAAAAGGCTCGAGACGAGACGAGAGAAAGCCCTCTCTCGCTCGAGAATTTCTCGTTTCTCTCGATCTCTCTCGTTCTCTCGATTATTCCGGTAATAAGTAAACAATTTTTTTACATAAAAATTTTAATTTTGCGATATTTATTTGGACCAATGAGAACATTATTCGCATTTCATAATAAACAAAATTTGTTCCTGTATAACGTTTTATTATTTTATAACACAACTTAAGGTAACCAAGAAAAAAATTACTTAATAATATAAATTTTTAAAATTTACCCTGTATAAGCACATTTATGGCACATTTATGGCACATTTATGGTACTCCTTATATATAATAGTATATACTATTAAACAACCCGTGCTTAATAAGCATTGCTTATTCAATGAACTTATTAACAACATGTGGTTTTTGAGGGGCTGATTAAAAATTTGATATCCATTTCTTCAAAAAATAAAATGGCTGATCCAATATGACGAAAATTAGTCGTTCGGCTTTAATGGTTTGGGTAAAATTTAGTATTTAGATATTTATGGGGTACCTGATTAAGAATTTGATATCCATTCAAAAAACAAAATTGCGGATTCAAAATGACGGACATGCGCAGTAGGTACAAGATGGTTGGATCTATGTGGAGTAGTTACATCATATAGACGCAGTAGTTTTCAGATGGATGGATGATTTGATCCATCCATCTGAAAACTACTGCGCCTATATACTACACTGAGAAAAAAAATGGGACAAATAAACTGTGTAGCTAATCCTTTTATTAATAGTGAATATATTGTTTATTACCTCTAAATAGTCGAAATAATAACGATAAATATACTTTAGTAAAACTTTATGTGTCGGGAATAAAAATATATTTAGGATAAATATACTGTCCCATATTTAAATATTTTTTTTATTTGGGAGCAATAAACTTTTTTCTCAGTGTTACAGTTACATCTATATATGTAACTACTCCACATAGATCCAACCATTTGATTCAAATGTGCGACATTTTCGGCGTAAGAAGTCTTACTTTATCAGTGTGGTCTTGGCACAATTTCCAGTTTAAATTTATATAGAAAAAATATAAACGAATTCGTATTTAATTGCAAATAATTTTTGTATTCATACATAGGTACTTTTACCACGAGAGATACGAGACGAGACGAGAGAAAGGCACTCTCGAGCGAGAAAAGATTATTCTCGACGAGACGAGAGACCCATTTTCTCTCGCTGCACGAGACGAGACGAGAGAAGGACTTTTCTCGTCTCGTCTCGTCTCGCGGCATCATGTATGAGTTTACACTATCCTAAATTAGGATAGTGTAAACTCATACATCGTTTTAAAAAAATACCAGCGCTTTTTGTAAATTAATTCTGATTTTAAAGGTTTTCAATAATTTTAAAT